ACACATGTTACACATGTCAAGTATTTTCTTTTAGCCTTTCATCTGTTTTTAACTTCCGCATTTTGTTACCCAGAAACTCCCAGTTTTATGTAATCAAATGTCTGTGACTTCTGGGTTTTATGCCCTATTTAAGGAGGATGTACTAACCTCCAAGATTACCAAAATACTTTCACACATTCTACTGCAATGATACTTCTGCTTTTTATGTTACTTCATTAGTCCTTAAGAACACATGCTGAACAAATACAAGAAGTTTAAGGAACCAAATAAAAACCACAGACTTCGGAGTGGGGACTGGAAATATAGAGAGCAACCAGATAATCAAAAGTTTTACAGGCATAGTTAGAATTTGTACTTGCTCCTTAAGGCAATGGGAAATTAGGGAATTTGAAACAGGAAAATAAAATGAACATTCAATTTATTCTTTTAAAAGACTGTTCTGCAATTCATAGAGTGGGAGAAAATACTCACAATATATTTATATATCTGATAAAAATCTCATATCCAGAAAACATAAAGATTCCTCTAATTAACAACAACAACAAAAAAACAGGTAACACAACACAAGAATGGCAAACATTTGGAATAGACACTTCACAAAATAGGGTGTACGATGGTCAGTGAACATGTGAAAAAGTTTTCAACTTCATTAGGAAAATGCAAACTAAAACCACAGTAAGATACCACTACAAAATTTTAGAATAGCTACGATGAAAAAGGCAAAAATACCACATGGGTAACTAGTACAACCATTTTTGATTTGAAACTATCTACTAAAGAGGAACATATACATACTCAATGGCCCAGAAATTCCACTTCGAACCATAAACTCAAGAGGATTGGGTATGTGTCTGTACATGTTTACCAAAAAACATGTTTAAGAATAGTAACAGCACCTTGTTATACATAATAGCACCAAACTGGGAATTACTTAAATGTTCATCAACAGTAGACTAAATTATGGCACGTTCATACAATAAAACACTATATAGCAATAAGAACTAATGAATGATATGTGAAATAAAGTACAATCTCAGATAATGCTGTTAACAAAAGAAGGTAGGCACAAAAAGAGTACATGCTGTCAATTCCATTTATATAGAGCTCAAACAGACAAAACTAATCAATGGTGCTAGAAATCAGGACAGCAGTTTCCTTTGGGAGGTGAGGGTAAGGAGCAGTGACTAGAAGAAAACACAAAGAGACTATGGGAAAATAGTAATTTACTACTTACTGATCTGAGTGATGGTTTTACAAATGCGTTCAGTTTGTGAAAATCCAATGGTTTGGACACATGTATTGTGTATTCCTCTGAACATATAGTATACCTCAGTAAAAAAACTTTTTAAGAAAGATTATTCTTGCTTTAAAGTGGAGAATAAATTAGGAGACAAAACTATAAGCAAGGGATGGGATTAGGAGGTTATTTTGGTAAAATAAATTTATAGACAATAAACAAATACCTTAAGAACGAGAATGTTAGTAGTAAATCAAGAGAAACAGATGGTTTTCAATGGTATTTGGTACATAAAACTATCTGGTAAATGCCTGCGTGGAGGGAAAGAAGGAGTGTCAGTGATGACTCTCAGGACTGTTGGTATCTGGTAGGAAAAGTGATGCCCTTAAGATACATAACTCAGATGGAGATGCCCAGTTGGTCAATGCTAAATTGAGAGCTCCAGATTTTGGAGTCACTACACATATGATGTTAATGAAGTACTGGGAGCATGATTTCATCTAGAAGAAAAAATTAAAAGTGAGAAAAGAAGATGGGTAGGCAATAGGAAAACAACCAAGTTTGCAAAGCTGTTCTTATAGACAAGTGATTCTCAGAGGGGGTCTGAGGATAGTGGGGAGGTCCCTGAGACAATTTCAGGAGTTCTACAAAATCAAACTACTTCTATAACACTATATTGTTTGCCTGGTGTACTCTTTCTCCCATGAGTAGATAGTGAAGTTTTCCAGAATATGTGATGTGGTTAAGAGGTGGAATGTAGAAGCAGATAAGAAAATCTACCTATCAACTATAAAGCCAGACATTAAAACAATTTGCAAAATGATGCAAAACACTGCCACCTCCTCACAATTATTATTTTTTACTTCGCAAAATAGTTATTTTTCATAATAGCGTATATTGGATTTTTATATGTCATTGTTAAATTAATGAATAAATAAATATTTTAAAATTTTCTCAGGTTCATAATATGACAGTTATGGAAACATAAAATACACAAAGACAAAAGTTATTTGGGGGTTCTGAAAAAGCATATAAAAGTGGCCTAAAAACCAGAAAGTTTATAAATATATCAATTTCTTCTGAACCCAGCTAAAACTGTTATTCCGGTTAGAATGACAATGCAGAAGGTAAGTCTATGAAACCAGTTTAGTCTCACTATCCAGGGACTGGGGCACCTAACTCAATGCTTTTCAACATTCCCTCAACAGATACTTTCAAATCACAGAGATACACAATGGTCAAAACCTGTGCGTTTCAATCAAGGGAAAGCATAAGAAATTCCTATTAAAGACATTTACACTCACCTTTTAGAAGAATTTCCTATATAAAAGGCTCTTGAAGTAAAATCACTGTTAAGTGCAAATCCTTGGGAATCAACATTTAAGGGGCAGACAGAATACAAGGAGTCTCTATGTAAGACTGAAGGGCTTGAACAGGAAGATAGAAAACTGAAGAGTGATAAATAGAAGCCCAAAGAGTCTTTTTCAAGAAAACAGGAGCTCTTGATGTGTCAAATGCTGTAGAATGGTTGTTTAAGATAGAAACAAGTACATCTCCATTTATTCAGCAAAGAGGAGGTCATTAGTGACTTTCAAAAGCAGTTTTAGTGGAGAGTTTGGTCAGAAAACTGAATAATAAGTATCAGGTGAAACAGTATCAAGTAGAAATAGTAAGGTACAGAACTGTTTTAAGAATTTAGTTGTTAAGTGGGGATAAGCAGGACAGCGACTAACAGTAATATAGGGAGGAGTGTATCATAAATGAACAAGATTGCTGAGGTGGGAGGAAATTAGATCTACAATACAAAGGAATTATTCATCAACCTTATACAGCAGGAAGGAGGCCGTTTACACAGCGTTAAGAGGGAAGTAGAAAAGTTTAGGCAAGAATAAAAAATTAATTTGAAGGTGTGGTAGGAGGAAGTTGAGGGAATTCCTAAAGATTTCCATCATTTCTGCTTAGTAGATAGCAAAAAAGAGAAATGAAAGCATAGATTTATGGAGAAGGTTTGACATACCTACTATGAAGAAAAATAACAGACTTGGGCTTTTCTGAACCTTTTATATTTTCAACAATTATTAATTATTGTAACAACAATAGAAAAAAACTTAAAGATAAGAAGTATCAAATACATTTTAAAATGTTTTTTATGCAAAAAAAGTAAAATGAAAAGAAAGGATGCTCGGCTGTGTTAAGAGGTAATCCCTTAGTATTTAGGAAAAGTTAGCTCTCCAAACTTGAACAGTTATGGTTTATAATATTTTATTTAAATATACTAATTAGTCAACTAAAATGGGAGAGTATAGCTGCCTTTATTGCTATTTTATAGAAGTGGTATTAGGTTGGATTATGACATCCTGAGTAACCATAAACAAGTTTCCTATTTGTTCTTAGAAGCAATTTTTTAACAGCACTGTCCAAAGATGGAACAGGTTTCCTTTAAGTACTGATGTAACAATTACCAGAAAAATGTATTTATAATACTTTACAAGTGTCAGTCTATTAAGTCTTTAGAGCTAATTCTGAAATATAGTAGTTAATATTTTAGTCTTGTAGCTTCTCAATTCTCTGTCATAAGGACTCGACTTGGCCCCGGTAACTCAAAAGCAGCCACAGACAGTATGTAACCAAACGGATGGACATGGTTGTGTTCCAGTAAAACTCTATTTGCAAAAACCCACGACTGGCCCACACACTCTAGTTTTCTAATCCCTGGTCTAAGTTTTCAGCTTCTCACTGAAAAAGTCACTAAATTCTTAAGATCTTTAGTTTTGTCATCTGTAAGTAGAGTAACAAAGCTATTGAGATAATAAGACAATTATATAAGTTACACTAAATTGTCCACCCCCATTCAATGCATTTAACAAATACAAGTTTTCTTTCTCTGTGTTTGGTAATATGACGTTATGGTACCCATCTTTCAGAACATCAAAGAGGTGGAGAAAACATTCAAGGAGTGGAAAATAAATGCTTATTTGTTAAGATGATGACTCAAAAATGACTTTGCTCCCACCTCAGCTTCCCAAGTAGCTGGGATCACAGGCATGCACCACCGTGTCAGGCTAATTTTTTTGTTATTTTTTTGTAGAGATGGGGTCTTTGTTGCCCACACTGGTCTCAAACTCCTGGGCTAAAGTGGTACTCCAGCCTTAGCCTCCCAAAGTGCTGAGATAATAGGCAGGAGGATTGCTTGACTCCAAGAGGCTAAGCTGCAGTGAGCCATGATCATACCACCATCCTCCAGCCTGGGTGACAGAGTGAGACCATGCCTCAAGAAAAAAAAATTTTTGGTAATTTTTAATTAATAAATCCAGGTCTCTGTCTCCATCTGATTTTGATTTCTTCTGAAAGATACAAATCAAACATTTCTTGGAAATAACTTTCCTAAGTCCTTAAGATTTAAAAATCTCATTTATAATATTTTATGTAAACAAATTTAGATTTCCTTTTAAGCTTAGTGTTAGGAATTTTTTAATTTACATATGCAATACAATCCTGAAGGGCTGTAATGCTGCACAATAAAGTTCTAGAGGAAAAACTAGGAAGGGAAAATTAAAACATGCAATGCAAACCACTTTCCCTGCCTTTGTACAGCTACTATATGCCAGTTTTTGCCTTATAATTCAGTAAGATAAAAACATGTCCATAAGATGATTCTGAAACAAGAGGGAGATCACAGTTGAAAGGTGTTCTGAAGCCCACAAAAACTCTACGAAGTAAATAATCAAGAATTTGTCATTTAAACCAAGATTCTGAAACTCACCATCTCTATTAGTTTCCCATTCTACATTTTCTTCTTCACTTTCCGGAGTTCTCTCCTTAGTGATTTTTATGTCTTCCTTTTCCCTATGTCTCCCTCTTGAAGATTCTTTCTAAAAAAGTACATACATACATTCAGATTACTATATTTTTAAAAATTATATGAGGTAGTTTATTGTAATAGAGAACATTTTAATTTCATTTATCTCTGTTTCATCAAAGAATCAGTTTTGTAAATAGTCACTTATCCACTAAGTAGAGAAAGTGACAAGTTCTAGTTGAGCACCACAATGAAAAGACTATACTCCAACTATTTTACTAAAGAACAAAAACTTTGCTAAAGAACAAAAACTAAGAGATATAGACTACACTATATCTATTTTACTAAAGAACAAAAACTTTAAATATTAAAAAGTAGCTAAGATGTGAAAATATGCAATGCAAATCTAATACTTTAACAAGCTTGTGACATTCAGCTACATACTAAGTTTCCATGTGAAAGTCACTGGGGAAAAGACAGTTTAAAATGAATAAAATACAATGGAAGGATTTGTAAGTGATTATATTTTAAAATGACAAAAAAGGGATAAGCCATTCATCACAGACTTCTAAAAATAACTGATCTAGGACTTGTCATATATTCAAGTAATTGCCATTTTCCTAGACACCTAGGGATAAATCCAAACTCATTTAATAGTATTACAAAGGTTTACAAAAAGATATTTTACCCATTTTGATGAAACCAAATGGTACCTAAAACAGTCAGCAAATTAGTCCTCACTACTGCTGCTAAAAAACAGGTTTTACATTTTATTCCAGGTATAAAAGCAGCTCACAAAAAAGGTCAAAATTAATTCAGATTATAAAAGTCAATTAAATGTCCTATTACATAAGAACTCCAAATCATATTTTACTAGGTGGTGAGAAAATAAAAGTAATCAGTGTTATGTAATTGTTATCTTTCAACACAGTAAAAGTCTTACTTTTACTAACATTGTAAATACTACGAAAGACACATATACACAAGGATATTAAGTGCTCAAATTTCTTTCTGAGCATTACTAATCATAAAATTTGGCTGCTTAAAACACAAATCAATTGCTCTTCGTAGTTTTCTTTTTAAAGAACTCTAGTATAAATAACTGCCCCTAAATTCTACATATTTAGGCATGAAGTCATATTGTAATTATTACTGACAAAATTTGTATTTGATTGCTGGTAAGACAACAGAGGCTGACGAAAATAATTTGTAAGTTATATGAGAGTAAAACCTGCCATGAAAAAAATGGTAAAGAGTCAAGAAAATAGAAATGGGCCTTTACTTGCACAGAAGACAAAAGGAAGAAATATAATTTATTTTTACTCTTAAAAAATTCTGTGGAACATCAGTGAAGAACTATCCTACATCCCAAACAATTTTTGAATGTTCTAGGAATTAAACCCGCTATAAACAGACATTACTGAATAACTATGCCAAAAATATTTAATAGGAGGTTATCTCCAAATTATTAAATAACATATTCTGTGCTTTCTGTCCACTTAAAAGTATGTGAAATCCAACTGCAAGTCTAGCTAAAAAGGGTGTCACAGCAGTAGTGCTAGTGCTGCAAAATAAATCTATAAATTTGTAACACTATTTTTTATCAGATTTAGAGCCAGAAATGTTGTATCAATAAATGTCATTAATAATGATATATGTAAATATTTCATATTTACCCTAGACATTAAAATTAAAATTTTTGAATTGTCCATGTTTTTCAACATGGACTAGCATCATGTTTTCTGATGCTACTCCCAGAGATCATATATAACTTCTATTATTAGGTACCAGAGACTGAATGCACGCTTAAACAGGTGATGGAATTTCAAGTTCTTACTTCAAATCATAATACAGGAAATTACTTTGGTAACATTTATTAAGAAGGTCTAGCTCATTGAAAAAACATCTTATTTCCTAACTTTCTCCACTTCAACAATGTGTATACTTGTTTAGGTATGTTATTCCTTTTATCAAATAAAGTTATTTCCCCTTTTCTCTTATATTCAAATAAAGAGGGTATAGTATTACTTGTCCAGCGTAGTGTAGCACGGTCTACTATTCCACCTTGCTGTATTTCTTGAACAGAACGGCTTCTCATCTTCTCTTAAATCCAAACATATTAATTAAAAGTATAACCTATTGATTACTATGTGTTCTAAATTAGTCATCCTAGAACATCAAAGGGTTGAAATACTTGAAGAACTACAGTATTTTAGCCAAAACCCTTGGGACCAGATATTCTAGAGTTTAGATTTTTTTTTTTTTTTTGCATTTCAAAGCATATTAAGTAGTACTACTGTTCCAGTGGAGTTTGGAACAGTAGCCTGTGACCAAACATACTAACATTTTTGCAGCAAAACACAGAAATTCACCACTTTTACAAAAACTGTAATTAAATTTATTTCAATTAAGACCAGGCCTTGCTCCTACATGTCTGTGCCTTAGGAAAAATGTTTGGTTTTAAGTTTCTTGAATTTCAGAAATGTAACACATGATTTTAGATGTTTATATTACTTTCATTTCCACTCTTATATGCACGTTTATTTCTTGAATATTATATGTGTGGGCAGATTATGTTTATCATCAATTTTAGATGATAAACATAGATAAAAAGCAGGCATTACAAAGAATATGAAATAAAAAGGAAGTGTCAAGACTAAGAGAGTTCAGAACTATTATTAGTAACTAAGTTTAAAAATGGTTAGGAGCCTGTGTAAGTAATATAATCCAACCTCCTACTCTACGTAGAACAATTTTCCATAACATTTGTATAGCTGTAGAAGCCCTCTATTAGAAGACTCTTGGGCGCAAAAATCTTGGCTCTCTACTCTTGCACCCTTTTGTCCCATTTCCAGACAGTTCTAATTATTAGAAAATTAGTTCTTATGCCCAGCGCATCTTTCTTAACCTCTCTAGAGGTTATACCTCTCTAGAATTTCTACTGATTGGGACTAGTTCTAACCTCTGGAATCATGCAAAACAAATCTAATACTTCTTTCATGTGCTAGACCTTTCCTCATCACTCTTTCATCTTCTCTGGGCATACTAATCTGTCAGTGTGCTTCAATGAAATACGATACCCCAAATTAATCTAGTCTTGTCAGAACAGCATAAAGCATACCTCTTCCAACTCCCCTTAGAATTGAAATTACACTTGTATTAATGAAGTCTAACTTGTTTTTGCAGAGAAGAATGGAGCTTCAACTAAGAAACTATAATCTCCTAAACTATACAAATTTGAACTATTATTTCACATAAAATGAAGCCTATAAATAGAGTAAACTTCAGGCCTAAGTGACTTACTAATAGTGAAATCATCAAAGACCAAATATTCACTCTTGTTTTCATTTCTTACAGCTCCGCTATTCTTAATGTTGACTTCACATTAAGGTTTATTTCTTACCATAAGAAGCAGCAATCTGGGTCTCCTCAATGTATCTCTCTCACAAGCACAAAGAATTATTATTTCCTTCAGAGCAACCAGGCCAACTTCAGTCACATGGCCACCTCTGTATGAATAATTGCTATCAAGGTAATAGCCATGGGATAAACGGCTTAGGCCTGCTTCCTGAATCAACTGAACTAGCAAAGGGAATGGGATTATTATAACTGGATTTAACTAATCAAGGCCCAGCCATGAAAGTGGGATCAATTCCCCAAATCACAATGCTGATACAAAATGAAAAAATGGTGGAACGGGTTCTGGGGAATCCAAAGCGATATGCATGACACTTCATACTGCACTTCACTTCCTCATGGTACAATGCCACACTTTTGATAACTTCAACGGCTATAACAAGACAGAATTTCCAACTTAATAAAAATTTCTCCTTTACTATTCACATTTCCGACCCTTCTTCTAGGGTCTTTTTCCATCTTCCTGATGTATATACTTTTAAACATTTCTCTATTTTGTGAAGATCTGTTGGTAGTAAACACTCTCAATTTTATTTGAAAAAGGTCTTTATTTTATTCTCATTATTGAAAGCCAGACTCTGGTACATACTTTCGGTTCACAGGTTTATCTCAGTACTTTGAAAATATTATTTCACTGCCTTTTAGCTTCCATTATTTGTTACTGATGCCATCCTGTTACTTTTTTGCATGGGGATTTGTCTTTCTATATCTAGAGGTTTCTAGTATTTTCTCTATATCTCTGATGTTTTGCAGTTTCATTATAATATTCTATCTGTGATGTACTGCACATCTTGTATCTGCAGATTTATGGTTCATCAATTATGGAAAATTCTCAGCTATTTCTTAAAATATTGCTTCTCCAACATTCTTTTTTTTTTTTCTTCTGGGTTTCCAATTAGATGCATATTGAATTTTCTAAGTATTTCCCCCATGTTTTTAAACCTTGTCAATACTTTCCATAACTTCTCTTTATGTGACGAATTCTGGAGAAATTCTTCAGCTGGCAACTATTGTCAGGTCAAGTCACTCTATTCCATACCAGTGCAATTAACTTTCTATGCCTAAAATCACCTCTACGTTTATCCCTAACAGTTTCTGAGCTTCCTGTATAACCACACCTCCTATAGTGGATTTACTTACATCTTTCCACAATTACTTGGAGAAATTTCCTTTGAAGTTAATATATAAAAATTATCTCAGAACATTTAGTCAAAGAATGACTCAATTACTTGTATGTCAATAACATTCTCATCTGCCACTAATATTCACTTATAAACATCCATACAAATCTATCCATTACTAAAGTTATCATTCAAGTAATAATTCCATATGTATTACATTGACATCAGAGGATTTTAAACATTCAATGTTTTTCACAAAACTTTGTTTTCTTCTTCTATCATCCATCTATCTACCTATCTTATTGATTTTATCTATCTATCCTATCTATCCATCTATCTACTTGAGACAGGGTCTTGTTCTATGACCCAGGCTGAAGAGCAGTGGTGCAATCATGGCTCACTGTAGTCTTGACCTCTTGGGCTCAAGCAATCCTCCCACCTCAGCCTCCCATAGCTGGAACTACTGGTACATACCATTATGCCCAGCTAATTAAAAAAAAATTTTGATTTGTAGAGACAGGGTCTCTCTATGTTG